AACACTGATGTCTAGGTGTTTTATGAGGTGACATCTGACCTGTTGTGTATAGCGCTAATTTATCTAATAATAATCTGATCATTATTATTTGATAATAATCTCATTATTACCTGATAATTGATTAAATAATCCGATAATGATCTGATCATTAATAATCTGACAGTAGTAACACTGATGTTTAGGTGTTTGATGTCTGACCCGTTGTGTATCAGCGCTCTGAAGTCCTGACTGGACTTTACGTCTATAAGGAAGATCGCCATCATCAGGTAGAAACAGGAAGTGCCAAAGCAGACTCTGTAGACAGCGGAGTAGCCGACCAACATCTCGCAATGACCTCCGCCGTGCGCCTGGTCACACACCATGTTAAAGAAAGGCACCTGGAACACACACATTGACTACATGAATACACCATTGATTTAAGATCATTGCTTGATTAAAGATTTGAAATGAGACCATTTGATTTCACTGTTGCATCAGTGGCGTCCTCTGAGCTGTGAGGCCCAGATGCTTCTGGACATCCTGAGTTCAGGACTCAGAGGTGACGGGTCTTTACAGCGGCTGTGTCTAATCTCTGGAATCTGTTTGATGTTTTATTTTGGTTTGAAGCCTGCTCAGCACGTTGGTTGTTTTAAGCGTGTCATGACTCTGAGCTGTGAGCTAAAGAGTTGATGAATTTTGTTATAGACGTTGTGTTCAGATAGGAACTTAGCTCCTTGTGTGTCTGTAGCTTTATTTCCTACCTGCGTGATCTGTTCCCTCATCCTGGCTTGTGTGTATATGTCTCTGTGTGTCCCTTTGCTCCCAGTGTTTCTGTTGCATGTTGTTCTATTGTAGTTAAATATTTGGCTTACTCAATGACACCTTTATTTATTTGACTAGCACCTGTGTTTCCTGACAGTGTATAAATAAACCTCAGCTTTATAAAATGTGACATGTTTATTTTGCTGTATAACTGTACAAAATTACAAATAACACATAAATGCATCAGTATTAATAAACCAATTACATTTCATGAATAATATTTAACTGAAGTGATCCTATTTTTATAAAACAGGATCTGAATACATCCTCGACAACTGTTTGTTTAGTCTAAATTATTTGAAATGCTTCTTTGCTGCTTGTCATTGAGTCCCTTTGATTGGCTGTTGTATCTGACAGGCAGCCAATCACAGACTATCCAAGTTATTGTTTCCTGTTTCTACTCAAACTGATATTTAACAAATGTTATGTCAGAATCATTATTGGTCAATTTTGTGATTGAATTCACAAAATCAGCATCTTCAGCCTGAAAACTCGGATTTTAAATAAAAGAACCAGACATTGATGGACAAGCTGCCAACTCACATTTTCCCTGACGAGCTCAGAGACGGTGCGGGACAACATGAGGCAGGAAACGGCGCAGCTCATGATATGAAAGAGGGTGTACATGACCCGGGTGCTGGTGGACGACTTGACTGGAGGACAGAAGGCACAGCAGAGGGAACAGGGAGCTGGACCACAGCAGCAGCAGATCTGAGGACGAGACGGGTCAGTGTCTTCAACTGTGTGTGATGTGTAACGTGTGAGTGTGTGTAACGTGTGAGTGACGTGTAACGAGTGAGTGAGTGAATGGATGAATAAACACTGACTGGATGAATAAACCCCTGATGACTGGTGTGAAGAACCTGACTTCTGTCACATGACTGATCAGCATACAATAACTGAGCTCATGTTTCCTATAATAATACAAATGTTTGTGTTTCCATCAGGACACGTAACTGACGTCCATCAGGACACGTAACTGGTAACTGACGTCCATCAGGACACGTAACTGGTAACTGACGTCCATCAGGACACATAACTTCTGCACAGCAGAGAAACTGCAGGATAATGACACGTTGCCTGAATTTCCCATGATGCTTTTAACTATACATCACATGCTCCTAGTTGTTCTGACGTCAGTGTGTTGATGTTCTCTGAAGTGGTTACACGTAAAAAAACATGGAAGCTGTAATTAACATGTGTTATATTTGAGTTTAAACTCATTATCATATTTACATGATAACAAAGGTGAGACAGGTAAATAAATCATTTAACACATTCATCATAACGTACTGGATTAAAAAGTGATGTTAGGATGTTTAAAGTGATAAAAGTTTAACATGTGAGAAGTTCACAAGCCTCTATGCAGAGGTGATTGTAAAATTATGATCTTTGCTTTATATATTTGACGTCTGCAACTTCTCAAATAATCGTTCATGTAAACACATTTTTCTGATTATTCCGACAGCAGGACACATTATGAGATGTGACTGTAGAAGCTCCTGAATCTTTAACATCCTGATGGACGAGGACTCACCTGCTGAGTTATTCTGTCTGTGATAAAACCAAGTGACAAATGAACCTGTCATGTAACTTTAGCACAAATAAAGGTTTAATTTTTACAACACCAAAATCATCATGAAAACAAAAAGTATATTTCATGAAAAACCAGCTCATGGTGCTCGAAGGCTGATAAAAGTCTCAGGGATTCATCATCTGTGGAGCATGAATACACGATGTCATCACTACACATCCAATAAGTGCTGGTAGCTGATGATAGATAGATAATCAATAATCAATTAGGACCAAAGTTTCTCCTGTTTGAGTTGCATTTGATAAGATGTAATTACTTTAAGAAAGTCAGAACTTCCTCACATGTCTCAGATGAAATTAAACAGAAACCACAATGACACAAACCAAAGATAAATACAGTGGTGCAACGTCATAAAATCTAAACTCTTTATCCTGAAATATGAAGCGTCATTTAGGATTTAACTTCCTTTAAATCTACAATGCATCACTCATAAACAAAAAACTTCTAGATCCCTTTTTGCTTTATATTTACGATATGATGAAACAAGGACATGAACTCCTGATGGTAAGTACTTGAAAAATAAAACATCAAAATCTAGATAATAAAAATCTCTGCATTATTTTAAATAATACAGAGTTATAATAAATACAATTTTAGAATTATTTGAATAATCCAGAGTTATAATAAATAAAACTTTAGAATAATTTAAATAAATCAGAGTTGTAATGAATAAAACTTTAGTATTGTTTCAATAATCCAGAGTTAGAATAAATAAAAACATCTTGAGAGAGAAATTCTGATCATGTGTAGAAAAGTAAACACATTTTAATCAGCACACTGAACAGATCTCCAGCTGCTCGTCAGCGCTCACCTGATAGGCCACCATGTTGAGGAAGTAGTTGTAGATGCCGCTGCGGTTCACCCCCTGAGTGGCCGACATTGTGCCTCTAAACTGTTTTTCCTCCGACACCACGGCTCTACATTTGGCCATAAAGTTCCAACACAAACAGGCTTTTGTCAGACGGCCAGCAGCATCCTCACATCCTCAAACTCAAGAATAAAAGGTCCAGCAGGTCGTCCTCACTGTGTCCTTATGCTGGATTATCAGTAAATCTGCTGCACCCAACATGAGCTCAGCTCCTCCTGACCCACAGGGAATAACTTGTTCTTTTCACCATATCCTGCGAGTGTTGGCTCTGCGACTGTGCTTGCTGCCAGAAAACAGGGTGAGATGGTGTAGAATGCCCGGTGGCCTCCCCCATCCTCCCCCTGTCCTACCCAGTCAGATTAGGTCTGTGAGGGGAGGAGGGGGTGAGGAGGACAGAAACCATCTGTCCCTCCCTTCCCCTCCCCCAGTCCTGCTCAAACCCCCACAGAATGACACCAGTGGACCCACGATTATTCCAGACGTAGAAAATTAAACAATTACCCCGTGTGATTTTCTGACACCACGGCCTGCTGCTGCATCCACCAAACCCCCAGAGCTCGACCCAGTGAGAGTCGCTCACAGAAAGAGGCCACGTCCATAATCCCGATGTTATCATGACTGGAGAGTTTGACCCACAAACACTGAGCGGACGAGGGATGAAGGCATGAATGTAACACTGGATATTTGCTCTGTCTGACGGACCCAGCATCAAATAAAAACTTAACGGGTTAGAAAGAAACACCATCGGTTCACGCACGTGTTGGAATTGACCCATCACACCTCTATCATCTCCAAGTCAATCCAAGTCAGTCATTACTATTATTTTACTTTTTCCAATAATGAGTAGTGTAAGGCATTACAATCTCTAAGACAGTAACAATATTACAGTTACTAATCCAAGTCACTCTGCATTAATGCGTAACCAGAGTGCGATTAGTTTTTTGTCCTTGGTAGGGTATCTTATGGCGCAGGTCAGGCCGGCTGCTAGCCAAAGAGCTACCATGCACGGAGGATGAGGGAGAAGGACAGAGGCACACGTTCAGCAGCTGGAAGAATTATTATTTTGTGTTTGTCGCAGTTAAAGGTGCAAAGAACATTGTCGTCCGATGTAAACTTTGTGCGAGCAGCAAAATTATGTCAATGGTAGTGGACGAGATCTGAAAAAGCATGTTAATGGTATATCATCAAGGAGAAGTTGCCTAATTCCACAGGTGACACAGCCTCATTTCGATGCATTAGAGAAAATACCCATGAAGAGCAATGTTACACTGCCGCAGAAATAGATGTTTGCCAGTTAACTTGAGACAAATGCAAAAATGTAATCTAATTTGAAGGCCACGTTCGGAGAGGTAGATCCACCACAGCCAACATTTGGACGCTAACAACATAGTTAGCCCCTCCACTTTGGAACAAAACAAGGCTGCCGTGTAAAAGAATCAGAGGCAGGATCACATTTGATATTAGTAAAGCAAATAAATCCATTCATCAAAGGGTTCATGGCCACTGTGACAGACGATACATGAAATTAGGCGGCTAAAGAATATCAGCGAGTCTCTGAGCTCGAAGAAGACAGTGAAGAGTATTTAACTTTTACAGATCTCACAGAAGCCGACAGTTAGTTTACTCTCAGAGGTGAACAGCACGTACACTTTCCACCAGTGA